GTTTACATCCCTGTTAGTGAGCATTTCTGCTTTGCCAAGATAATCCACCTGCCTGACAGGTGTGGCATATCAAGAAGCTGATTAAACAGCATGATCATTACACAGGTGCACCTTGTGCTGGGGACAATAAAAGGTCACTCTAAAATGTGCAGTTTTGTCACACATCACAATGCCAAAGATGTCTCAAGTTTTGAGGGAGCGTGCAATTGGCATGCTGACTGCAGGACTGTTCACCGGAACTGTTGCCAGATAATTGAATGTTCATTTCTCTACCATAAGCTGCCTCCAACGTCATTTTAGAGAATTTGGCAGTACGTCCAACCGGCCTCACAACCACAGACCACGTGTAACCACACCAGCCCTGGACCTCCACACCAGCTTCTTCACTTGCGGGATCGTCTGAGACCAGCCACCTGGACAGCTGATGAAACTGAGGAGTATTTATGTCTGTAATTAAGCCCTTTTGTGGGGAAAACCTCATTCTGATTGGCTGGTCCTGGCTACCCAATGGGTTGGCCTATGCCCTCCAAGGCCCACCCACGGCTGCGTCCCTGCCCAGTCATGTGAAATCCATAGATTAGGGCCTAATGCATTTATTTCAATTGGCTGATTTCTTTATATGAACAGTAACTCAGAACACCTTCCTAATATTGAGTTGCACACCCAACCCCCCTTTTGTCCTCAGAACAGCCTCAATTCGTCGGGGCATGGACTCTACAAGGTGTCTAAAGCTTTCCACAGGGATGCTGGCCCATGTTGACTCCAATGCTTCCCACAGTTGTGTCAAGTTGGCTGGATGTCCTTTGGGTGGTGGACCATTCTTGATACACACGGGAAACTGTTGAGCGTGAAAAATCCAGCAGCGTTGCAGTTCTTGACACACTTAAGGGCTGTAAGTAAGCATTTAACTGTAATGTCTGCACCTGTTGTATTCGGCGCATGTGACCAATAACATTTGATTTGATTTGATTTGACTTAAACCGGTGCGCCTGGCACCTACTATCATCCCCCTTCAAAGGCACTTAAATATTTTGTCTTGCCCATTCTCACTCTGAATGGCACACATACACAATCCATGTCTCAATTGTCTCAAGGCTTAAAAATGGTAGTAGACATCAATAAAGGTCATCGCTTTCACCTGGATTCACCTGGTCAGTCTGACATTGAAAGAGCAGGTGTTCTTAATGTTTGGTATACTCAGTGTATATAACCACCTCTTCCTCTCTTACTAACACAATAAAACTGTGTAAGTTTGCAATTTCATTCTCATGATATGTTTAGGAAAATGACCAAAGTCTAGCTAAGAAGTTTTGGGGTTCAAAGTGCAGTATTTATTCTGTTTGAAATTCCGGATGTAGCTGGCAAAGCTAGCATGTTTTCAAACCAGCTAGCTAGCCCACGAGTTGTCATGCCGTCCGGTCAGACTTTTTTGAGTTGGTAATGTGAACGTGGAAGGCGAGAAGAAACGGTATAACCAGTAAACCTTCTGGTGTTCAAAGTTTCATGGAAATATGTTCAGTTGTTACAATATTGTCCACATGTGCATGGCCTACATGTGAGGTTGAGGTGAAATATCCTGTTAACAGATCATCCGAGCAGCCCAAGAACCCACCATTTTCCCCAATCCTCTCCTCCTTCACATGTTCGAATTTGCCCAAAACTAGAACAGAGCTTTTCAGGGGGCGAGCGAACTAGCCAGTAAGAGAAAAGAAAAGATCCATCCGGTCCCAAAATATTGGTTTGTTAAAACGTCTCCCGAAATGAGTGCCCTTTTATTTACCAACATAATCATCAAAATGGATACCTATAAGCAAGCTAGCTAGCTAGCCAGCCTATGCCAGTCTAATGCCAGCTAAATCAGAATAAAAATTTGTATTAGTTAATAAAGAATTCACCTGAAAATTTGAACAACATAACCATCCAAATCTAGCTAGCTGTAGCCTATACCAGTTAGATAGCTAGCTTGATAGTCCAAGCAAGTCTATAGTTATAGAGCTGTAACGCAGTCTGGCCTGCAGTCTCAGCGGTATTGAGCTGTCAAGCTAAGGACCCTAATAATGTCCTGTTTTCCCCTATAAAAAATACAACTAATTCTGTAAACTCCTGGGCAGTATCTTATTAAAATATGTATGCTTTATGACTGTAATTTACATTTTAGTAGACGCTCTTATCCAGAGCAATTAGGGTTAAGTGCCTTGCTCAAGGGCACGTCGACAGATTTTTCACCTAGTCAGCTCGAGGATTAGAACCAGCGACCTTTCGGTTACTGGCACAACGCTCTTAACCACTAAGCTACCTGCCGCCTGAATGAAACAAGCAAGTATATACTAACTTTATAATATAAATGTTTAATGGCTACACCCATTAAAGAGATTCTCCGGTACTTTTGTATACTTTTTAGCCAGTAGTTCTGAAAGTAGCACTCACGAGCCAAAAGTGGTCCCCGACAATTGCGCACTACGTCACATATGAGCAGAAATGTCCACCATGTCATTGCTCTCTCTGCTTTGTCCACTGAGCCCGCCCTGTAACCTCATTGGGTAACACTGGGCAGGCCTCTTGCTAGCTGTCACTCAAATGCGAGAGGCTGAAGCTCATTGGCTTCCCTGTAGGGGTAAATGTAGGGAAAATGGCGTGGCACAGCTTTAAGAAAACAGTCACTTTCAAACTAGGGATTTCATGGCTAATTGAGGTACAACAGTAATTCTGCTCATAAATTATGCAAGTATGAACTACACATTGACACATCCAGCCCAAATACTTTCTTAGTTGCCAAAGTACTGGAGCATGTCTTTAATTCCTATGCCAGGGCTCTCTAACCCTGTTCCTGGAGCGCTATCCTCCTGTAGGTTTTCAATCCAACCCCAGTTGTAACTAACCGGATTCAGCTAATTATCAGAATCAACCCCTAGATTAAGGTTGGAGCGAAATCTTACAGGACGGCAGGTCTAAAGGAACAGGGTTGTAGAGCCTTGTTCTATGCACCATCATAACATGTATCCATTGAAATGACGCCAAATGACCAGCTAAGGACACTGTATGGTATTTTTCCTTCCCTGGTCTATAACGACATGATGCAAACCATTACTTTACATACAATAGGATGGTAACTGTAGGCTACTGCACATGTATGCAATCAGAAACACAGTTGAGAGGTTTATCAAGCACTGAAATACTAGTCTGCATTTCCAAATATACATTCAAAACAAGTACATCAAAGGAAATAGTCTCCTCTACATCCATCTGGTTGAATCAAATACATTTTACACACAGTATTGGCAATTTTACTTTAAGAAGACCACCCCAAAATTACAAAGAAAAATGCATTTATTTGGCAACATATACTTCAGTCTTTTTTGTTGTTCAGAAAAGACAGTGAAAAACCTAGCAACAGTAGACTAGCTTTAAAAGAACAGAAAAGAGGACACACATTGTTATAAAAGAGCAGACTGGTTAGGACAGTTGTTGGAAATATTACTTTACTGTTGTAGGGAAGAACAGAGTGACTGATACAACAGTAACAGCAAACAAACGCAGTGTCCCTCACCAGAGTGGCGTTCATTAGGGCACAATAAGTTTAAAAAGTATTTTTCAGCAACCAAAAATAAAAACATAAAAAGTTTCAGTCCATTTTCTTCCATTTGGTGCCAAATAACATGACCCAGGTTTCATTCACACGGACAAAAAGGAACCAGAAGTATCAACTGTTGTCTGTTGCACATACATTCACTCAGTTAATTAACAAACATTATTTATATAGAGAGGTGTGATTAGTTGGTAGGCGATATCATGTTATCCTTAATGTTGTTGGCACAAACTCTCAACAGTTCTTTTTGTAATGTATTGGCAACAATGTAGTGCACTTTCTATAAAAAAAAAACATTTGACTAAAACCCATAAAAAGTACAAATATTAATAACAAAAAGCTGAAGGTGACTGGCTGATAGTTATGGTGCCAACTGACCCATATCTAATGGACTAATGGATGTGGCGGAGGTTCCATTTCAGTTCCTGTATTTACCAGGGAGTGCCAGCAGGGGGCTCTAGATACACTGCCTGCCCATTGCCACAGGACCTCTGGTTAGTAAACTCTTACAACTTCACACTTCAATATCCATCATACTTAGACTGGGGACAGGAGTTTTTCCAGACAATGTAAACTGACTGGCCCTAATAATATCACGTGTTTTGAATCCTAAGGCAATGAGCCTTCTTGATTGACAATTGCTTTATCCTATTGTAGAGGAAACAATGACAAGTTCAGTCCTAGTCCCCAACTCTTACTAACTAGTAAATATTATTTTTGTTCATTAACAAACACAGGTTAGTCTGATGTCCATATCACATAGACAGACATCATTGAAAAGCACTGAAAATAGTTTCGCTACATTTCTGTCCTTGACTGATCCTATCCCCATTCACAGATCCATTTCCATTCTAGACTAAAATAAATGGCATGACCATAAGTTGATCATAAAGGACAGATATATTGAGATAGACAGAACAAGATCCAAGCAGACTGAAGTTAGTGTTGGGGGCAGTTTGGTAATTGGGTTGTTGTTATCAGGGGAGAGGTCAAGCATTGCAGTCCAAGTCGCAGAACAGTGGTCACCTTCCATTTAAAAACAAACGGTCAGGATATCTAACAAACCTTTAGTTTTAGATGCAAAAACAGTGGTTGAGAATGTGGTAAACACCTGGGTTGGGAACAATTCCATTTCACTTCAACAAGTAAACTGCAATTCCAAATTCCAATTTTCCATATTGAAAAGCAATGAGCAAAATTGCAATTAGAATTTTAGTTTACTTCCAGAATTGACTGAGTTTAAATAGAACTGACCCCAAACCTTCTAAACAACACTACTATGGTCAGATTAAAAACTAACAGACATCTTTCAACTCAACGTGAGGATGGATGCTCTGATGTGATTCTGAGCTGGTTGGTTCCTCAGCGTAATGATAGATTGTGGCGTTTTGTGTTGTAAAGGTCCATGTTGGGTTCAGAGTAAACAGCATCGCTCTTTGAAACTCTTCTTGTTCTTATTCTTGTGCTTTCCCTTGCCGTTTTTGTCCTTGTTTTCCGACATCTTCTTGCCCCGCACCTCCCGCATCAGGTCAAAGAATACCTTGAGAATGAAAAGGAACAATGTTACCAAACACATTTACCTGAACAAACCATTATTAAAGTGATAGTCCACCACTATTTTCCAAATCACTTGATCACCTTGAAAATGGCAGATACAGTGGGGGAAAAAAGTATTTAGTCAGCCACCAATTGTGCAAGTTCTCCCACTTAAAAAGATGAGAGAGGCCTGTAATTTTCATCGTAGATACACGTCAACTATGACAGACAAAATGAGAATTTTTTTCTCCAGAAAATCACATTGTAGGATTTTTTATGAATGTATTTGCAAATTATGGTGGAAAATAAGTATTTGGTCAATAACAAAAGTTTCTCAATACTTTGTTATATACCCTTTGTTGGCAATGACACAGGTCAAACGTTTTCTGTAAGTCTTCACAAGGTTTTCACACACTGTTGCTGGTATTTTGGCCCATTCCTCCATGCAGATCTCCTCTAGAGCAGTGATGTTTTGGGGCTGTCGCTGGGCAACACAGACTTTCAACTCCCTCCAAAGATTTTCTATGGGGTTGAGATCTGGAGACTGGCTATGCCACTCCAGGACCTTGAAATGCTTCTTACGAAGCCACTCCTTCGTTGCCCGGGCGGTGTGTTTGGGATCATTGTCATGCTGAAAGACCCAGCCACGTTTCATCTTCAATGCCCTTGCTAATGGAAGGAGGTTTTCACTCAAAATCTCACGATACATGGCCCCATTCATTCTTTCCTTTACACGGATCAGTCGTCCTGGTCCCTTTGCAGAAAAACAGCCCCAAAGCATGATGTTTCCACCCCCATGCTTCACAGTAGGTATGGTGTTCTTTGGATGCAACTCAGCATTCTTTGTCCTCCAAACACGACGAGTTGAGTTTTTACCAAAAAGTTCTATTTTGGTTTCATCTGACCATATGACATTCTCCCAATCCTCTTCTGGATCATCCAAATGCAGCAAACTTCAGATGGGCCTGGACATGTACTTAAGCAGGGGGACACGTCTGGCACTGCAGGATTTGAGTCCCTGGCGGAGTAGTGTGTTACTGATGATAGGCTTTGTTACTTTGGTCCCAGCTCTCTGCAGGTCATTCACTAGGTCCCCCCGTGTGGTTCTGGGATTTTTGCTCACCGTTCTTGTGATCATTTTGACCCCACGGGGTGAGATCTTGCGTGGAGCCCCAGATCGAGGGAGATTATCAGTGGTCTTGTATGTCTTCCATTTCCTAATAATTGCTCCCACAGTTGATTTCTTCAAACCAAGCCGCTTACCTATTGCAGATTCAGTCTTCCCAGCCTGGTGCAGGTCTACAATTTTGTTTCTGGTGTCCTTTGACAGCTCTTTGGTCTTGGCCATAGTGGAGTTTGGAGTGTGACTGTTTGAGGTTGTGGACAGGTGTCTTTTATACTGATAACAAGTTGAAACAGGTGCCATTAATACAGGTAACGAGTGGAGGACAGAGGAGCCTCTTAAAGAAGAAGTTACAGGTCTGTGAGAGCCAGAAATCTTGCTTGTTTGTAGGTGACCAAATACTTATTTTCCACCATAATTTGCAAATAAATTCATAAAAAATCCTACAATGTGATTTTCTGGAAAAAAAATTCTCAATTTGTCTGTCATAGTTGACGTGTACCTATGATGAAAATTACAGGCCTCTCTCATCTTTTTAAGTGGGAGAACTTGCACAATTGGTGGCTGACTAAATACTTTTTCTCCCCACTGTAGAAGAAAATTGTCTGCAATATGTAATTACACACACACACACACAACACACACACACACAGTGACTGTACCTTATCGACGTTGGCTCGTGTCTTGGCTGATGTCTCCACGTACTGCACCCCCCACTCCTCTGCCTTGGCTCGGGCCTCATCTACAGACACCTGTCTGCGGTCCTCCAAGTCAGACTTGTTCCCCACCACCAACAGAGGAATCTTATCCTCCTCTGCTTTCACACGCAGGATCTGCTCCCTAAAACACACACATTGTAAAGACTTATTCGGATTTTAGATCCACAAACTAGCATTTAAAAGGTGCAAAGGTCATAGATGCATGCACCTCTTCTTGCAAGCAAAAAATCATGGAAACACATACGCAGGCAAACACACACACACACTAACAATGGCTTGAGTCTTCTATCGTTACGGTCATCATTGTGACTCTCCAATCTGACTCACTGCCATAAGACTGTCATCACCGCCATACATACTAACTAATGAAGGATCACCAACCTGAACTCTGCAGTGGCCATGAAGGACTCGTGTTCTGTGATGGAGAAGACAAGCAGGAAGCCCTCTCCACTCCTAAAGTAGTTGTCTCTGATGGCAGCGTAGTCCTCCTGTCCAGCCGTGTCCAGGATATCGATCTGGACCTCCTCTCCATCCAGCACTACCTTCTTCCTGTAGCTGTCTGCCTTGGTGGGCTCGTAGTCCTCTACGAACTAGGAGGAAACCACAGAACCGTCAGAATGTCTCCAGCAGACAAGACTACATTAGGCAGATAATATGTAGCCGTCTGCCTTGGTGTCTCATAGTCCTCCACAAACTGGACAGAGGACAAAGAGGAACACCTCAACCACACAGTCATTGTGTCACAGTACAAAACTGGAAAATGTTGAACTTCGGGTAATGTGAACTTTATTTAATTATTGTCAAGTTAGATAACAGGGTTCAACACAATGTAACAATGGAGTATGACAGGCTAGCAAACATAGCATGCTCAGTTTTGTGAGCATAAACCATGTCAATACTGCTGTAGCTATGCAGTGAGTTGAGCTAAGTGTGTGCATGTTCTCACCTCGTCGTACATGAACTGCAGTGTGAGTGCAGACTTGCCCACACCACCACTGCCCACCATGATGACCTTGTGCAGGGCCAGAGAACTCTGGGTCTTATTCTTACTGGCTGCCATCGCTGGTCTCTGTCTCTCACACACACACACACACACACACCGTCACACACACACACACACCGTCACTATGCTCAAACACTCACTGACACCACCTGTGGACACAGAGGACACAACAGTTAGATAGTGAGTAAAAAACACACACACAAACAATAATCGATATTACACACAGTAAACAGTACTACACACACTGCCCAGTCAACAGTCTACAAGGCTTGGGCAACATATTGTGTATACTGTGCTATTTGGGAAAAGCCACAGGATGGTTTTTCAATACCGTCAAAACTATTTATTTGACGTTTTCCAATAAATTTGAATACTTGTAGCTCCTTTTTAAGTTAATACCCACAGTCAACTTGTGCAATACATTAAGAGATAAAGCAGATGGCGTTCTTCATTTCACCCGTCACATTATTTTACATTATGAAGCTTACCGTAGTTCCCCAGAACAGTTGAGCCACGTGTTTGTTTGTAAATTGAAAGAGATCTGGATGAGTTATATGTACAGTTGCCATTTTCCCCCCTGTGCTTCCTACTAGCTGATTTTTTCTCCGCCATTCTTCTCCCGTAAATCCTGGGATGAAAGAAAGATGGCATGATGATATGACAATCTGGATACCGCCTGGCTTAGTGGGGTTCACCATCTAAAGGGCAATACCACTGATCAAACGCAATGAAGCCATCATGCCTACTACTGTTGGGTGTCATTTTGAAATACGATAAATCCCTCTTAAGGACATCCTAACTCATAGACAACCTCAGAGAAAGAGACAGTTAGACACCTTCAGGGCAGGGCAATAGCTCTGCATACACAGAAAACTTGACAGTTGCTGTCAGGTGACTTTTAGTGCCTAGTGACATTATGTCAAACTAGTTCAGTGGGTGAAATTATAATATGCTCTGGCCAACTTGATATCCCTTGACAAGGCTGTTTAATAACATATATTTTAACAATCATAGCCTTTGAGCTTCAGTGAGAACAGTTGTAGAAATTCTTAGAGCAGTGTCAAACTGGGAGTTATCAACAGAAAGAGTCATGGAAATAGTAGATTAATCCAACACACATTGACCACGCACAAGTGAAGTAATCTCCAAACAGAGTCATACCCTCATACAGCTTCATAGCCCCACCCACCCCCAACACCACATTTTCTCAGCCCACCGCCCTCTTCCCCCAGCAGGGGCGTCATGTGGGTAGGCAACAACAAAAAAAGCAGACAAAAATTCCAATCCAGATTTAAAATACAATGGCTGTTTACCGTAATGGCTGGCTTTAGGACCATGCGGAGCATTGCTGCCAGCATGTGCGCCTTTTCTGTCAGAGACAGTGCCATTTGCTTTGCCGGTCAGAGGTTTAGGCAGTGCGCCGATTGCTTTTGAATTTGATGTCGGCATTTGAACTTGGTCTTGTAAACCTTGTTGTAATCTGATAGCCAGGGGTTAATTTAATTGGGAAGTGGGGAGGCCTCCTTTTTGGTGACCATTCAAAACCAAAAGCTGTTTTATTGCTATTAAAATATAGGTTGTGATAGCAGTAAGCCTAATTGTTATTTTTATTTATTCGCCCAGTGGGCTAGTGCAATTTTGGTTTCATGTAGGCCTATTGGTATGAAAATAAACAACTGGACAACTTGCTATTTAGAGCATTTCCCCAAAATACATGTCTTGTTTTTGGCTTCAAAGACAATAACAAGTGTAGGCTATAACAAACATGCATTGTCATGCAGTGACAGAATGATAATTGATCATGCAAATGACTAATGATTACCTATTTGGGCTAACTTTTTTAACTTCTTGCTGTAGACCTACATCATCATCATCCTCTGCCTGCATCCCTACCTGTAGCCTACCTGCCTCTGATATAATGCATTTACACCTCTCACTCTATCAGTCTTGCTCGTCCATCTTCCTGAATTAAAATGAGATATTCTAACAGATAAATATTGCTGGCAAAACGTAATTAAACATAATTTGGCTATAGTGTGGATGTAGGGCTGTTTTTTGTATATAATGAGCACCCAGATGCTGCGTAGACAACACAATAATATCAGAAAGAGACAAGCTGGCCCGGGGAAAAATGCTTGCGGGCCGCCTCCGCGTTGGCTACTATGTTGCAATATTAATCTTCTCGGAGCAGTCTTGTTGATACAAAATGTTTTAATATTCTCAGAAACACCTTGTTGATACAATGCTTCAATATTCGCAGAATGTTTCCCTTCCCTGGTGAATAATACAGACAAAATGAGCTGGGTGCACACATTATAATGAATATTTCTGAATGCAGAGCAGGGAAGTGCATGAGACAATGACACTGTCATAGTAACTGTATGCACCGGTCCACAAGGGTGGCTTCATATAGCAGGGGGTCTGCAACTTACAATTGATCCTACAATTTGTAAAGATCTGTGTGGCAGTTATGATTTTCATATAAAGCATTGCAGGCTACTCAACTGTGCCCAGAAAATGTCTAACGGCCCAAAAACTGAATAGCCTAATTCTAGCTGGTTACTAGACAGAGACGCTGTCCATTCAGCCACACCCCATAAGGCTCCACTATGCGGTGCTGAATCACGGGTGCGGCCTTAATGGTTTGATTTTTCTTCAGTCCTTGGTCGAGTTGGTTTGTCTTGTCCTTGTCAATTGTAGGCCTAAGTCATTCCTTTGATGTATGCCTTTTATTTCAATGCATGTGTAGGATTTATCTGGCACTGTTTGCATTCACAGTCAGCTGTTTTATGCTCCGGTTACTTTCACATTGATGTCAGTATTTGAAGTTGGCCCTGATAGCGAGTATTATGCATCTATTTCATGTTGCACAAGTAGGCTAAATGAGTCAATGTAGCCTATGTACGATGAGGTTGAGTAGTACATTGTACACACCCTTCCACAGAACTTTAAACCTAATATTGCGGTGAAAATTAACTGTATCCTGTAACAACTCCCTTCACACTGTTGTGAAGGCTTTTTCAAGGAAGGGACCAAGCCCTGTCCTTCCTGCTTCTGTGTAGCATAGCCTACTGACACATCTCTCTCTCCACTCTACCCCTCCCTCCCTCCAGGCATGGCCTTAGCTGGATACCATGACAACCTCCACCCCGTACCAGTACAGGTAATTTCTCGTTGACACATGCACATAACATAAATGGCTGTAGCATCCGTCGACAGACTGTGGGATACAATGACTAATTATGAACTTTGTTCCGGTCCGCAGATTTTTCGTCACTGATCATTTCGAGATGGGACATTTAGCCCATTGACTTGCCATAGACTTGCCCCAAACTGGCTGAGAGTTTCGGTTTAGAGGGGTGGAGACTTCGTTATTCTCGTTAGTACATGTTGCTGTGCCACTAGAGATCCTGGTTCGAATCCAGGCTCTGCCGTAGCCGGCCGCGACCGGGAGACCCATGGGGCGGCGCACAATTGGCCCAGCTTCGTCCAGGGTAGGGGAGGGAATAGCCGGCAGGGATGTAGCTCAGTTGGTAGAGCATGGCGTTTGCAACGCCAGGGTTGTGGGTTCGATTCCCACGGGGGGCCAGTATGAAAAAATAAAAAAATAATGTATGCACTCACTAACTAAGTCGCTCTGGATAAGAGCGTCTGCTAAATGACTAAAATGTAAATGTAAAATGTACATGTTCTAACACATCTTCCTGAAGAATTTGATCGAGCATTTGACACAATTACGCAACATTTTTTGTTCTGGGTGTCCGGGATTAGTACAGGTAAACACAGGAACTGTAACTGCTGTAATCTGATGCCCCATTTACACCGTGACGTATTTCATTACGCCGTACGTCATCATAACAGAGTCTTGCCCCGCTACTGAACGGACAAGTGTAGTGTTTGTAACGCAAGATGGAGGAGAGCCAGAGATCACATTTATTTTGGGAGATTTTAAAATATGACCTTTTCATTCAAGACATGATGAATATATTGTTTCAGGTGATAATAAAACATGTTTTGTTTAGTTACTTTTTCCTCAACTTGTTACTTTATAGCACGTCAAGCTAGCTTGCACTGCTGAGCAGCTAGCTAGCTAGCCTAGGTTGAAGATACCACTGTAGCTAGCAACCTCCACCTCAAAAATAAATGTCATTACCATCACAATAAACTTAAATGGGAGGCAGCAGTCATATAATATAATTGTATTTAATATTACTATTAAAATAGTAATCACTTATAGGAATGGGTAATTGTTAACAAGTTGCTAGCTATCCCATTAAGCCTTCACCGAAAACCACATTTTCATCTTCTTCTGTGGTTTGGTAACTTCCTGTTCTTCGACGGACTCTGGCTGGACTGAAGATGACAAAGTTTGAAAACATTTAAAGTATGTGGAGTCCGTCTCCCAACAGATCCTTCAAACGCAAGGGGGCGTTGTGATTCCACTCCGTTGTGGACGTCCCCATTGAAATGCATAACATCCGGCGCAACATAATGGAGTGCTTATGGGTAATGTGGAGGCTTGACACAACACTTTGTTACTTCAGCTTGGTTTCTGAGTAAAGGCTCGCACACATCGCACCAAATGTGGATCTAGCGTTCTTCTGCCGATCGTTCAGCGCTCTGTGTTTAGGGACCACCCGCTGCAGACATCTGACTGCCAAACATGATTCTACATGTAAAATCGGTGCGCACTCGGTTCGCAAATTACGTTCAGAGGTGCTAAGTACTCTCGGCCAGCAAATGCTATTGGTGTGTCTGAGCCCTAAAGACAGACATTTCCATTCAAAAACTGAGCACACTACCTGCACATGACAGACAGAAAATAAAAGATCAACAGGAATCAATTAATCATACAGTCAGCACACAGAGATAAGAAACAACTAATGTCACTGTAAAGGCAGAGCAGTAAGCCGGTCTTGAAAGTCTATTTCCGAAGCCTCTGCATGTCACCCAACCCACTGTATTGTCATATCTTTACCCCTCCTCAACACCATCCCCATTTCCCTCTCTTTCCCTCTCTTTCCCTCTCTTTCCCTCTCTTTCCCTCTCTTTCCCTC